GACTAAGCAAGCTCTAAATCCCTTCCCAAAGGGACCGGGGGCAGGGAGGGGCTGACCTGGGAGCTCCTAGACACAGGGGCAAGGAGGCTCACCTGGGCATTGCCAGGCACACAGGGGCTGAGCTGGGCACTGCCAGGCACACAGGGGCTGAGCTGGGCACTGCCAGGCACACAGGGACTGACCTGGGCACTCCTAGGCACACAGGGGCTGAGCCGGGCACTCCCACGCATGGAAAGGCTGACCTGGGCACTCCCACACATGGAGGGGCTGACCCGGGCACTCTAAGGGACAGTGGTGGGGGCTAGGCAGTAGCCCAGGGACCCAGGTAGCTGAGCAGGATGCAGCCCTGGCTGCAGGCTGCAGAGTGCAGGGGCCACGGTGACTGAGAGCTGGGGGACAAGGAGTCTCAGGTACCGACCCCAAGGTCCCGGAGAAGCAACTACAGGCAACTTGTTTGTGGAGGAATCTTGGCATTGGCACACAGCTGTCACTGATGGGAGCTGGACAGCCGAGCGTGCTCAGGGAGACAGAAGGTGTCACCATGCGATGGGGAGTGATACTGCCGGCCAGGGGACAGGTGGCATCTCATCCAGCAGTTGAAGGGGGTCACCAAGCACAAATGTGAGCAAGCAGCAGTTACAGGCCACACACGGGCAGGACTGGTACCCCAAGTGGCCATCAGACACCTACTGGCCCCTGTCCGAGAAGAGAAGCAGGAAGGATCCCGAGGACTACCCTCTTGCCCCACGAGCCTGTGAGTGTGTCAGCACCCGAGCACCCTCAGTGCCTGCTACACACAGAGCCACAACCCCATCTGGACTTAAAAGGGAAGGGCGCGTGACAGCCATGGCACCTCCAGCAAGAACCCTAGGCAGAGATGGGGGCGGGGAGGAGGCAGCTAGGGGCACACACAGTGCACTTGGGGTAGTCAGGAAGGGGCTCCAGCTGGCAGGGACACAACACACACACACACACACCTGGAGATGCAGCTACAGGGGAGGGGCCAACGGAGGAAGGAGTGTTGGGGGGGCAAGGACCTGGGAAGGGGGAGGGTAGGGCGGGGGAGCTGGAGGCATCCCAGGACACGGGCTCAATGCCACACACTTCCAGAAAGGTGGCACTTGGCAGGCAGCACACGCTGGAGCTCGGAGGAGAGCAGCTCCTGTCTGAATGCCATGGGGTGTGAGAGAGTAATCCCACCAGCACGCCCCCCCCGGCCAGCACAGTGTCCCTGCGGGAGCAAAGGCCACATATGTTCCCGGGGAAAGGACCCAGAGCGATCACTTGGGCGCCCAGCCCCATGCAAAGCAGGCGTGCACAGAGGCACCCACACGCGTGTGCAAGGCCATGTGCCTGCATGCATCCTCCTTTATCCCCTTAACTCACTTGCAAGTGACTAAAACCGTGTGTATGTAACTCAGTGTCAGGGCCATCGGCCACGGAGATGTAGCACACGTGTGTAATGTGCCTGCCGATAAAAACAAAAAGGAAATGGGTGGGAGAGAAGCCGTATCGGGCGCAGGAAATGCCTGCAGATGGTAAAGTCGTAATTGTCATGGTGAACTGTAAGGGCTGGGAACACAGCCCCACAAGGAGGGGCAGGGAAGGGGACGGGGGACACAAGGACGCCCCTGGGCAAGTGGGAACCCAGCTCGACCGATGATTGCCTCCAATGTACGTGGACCTGCCAGTCCAGTCCAAAGCCAGAGACAATGAGCGCGGGTTCAGCCCATCCTGAGCTGACTTCGCTGCAGACCGCTGAGCAGTGCCAGTCCACGCGCTGGGAGACCGAGTGAGTGGGGCTCCAAGGGCCAACCTGGGCCGCCAACGCGCATTAAATGTGCACCTAACCATACAGCCCCAAATGGACAAAGCAAAGCTGTACTATAACCGGGTGGGCCCCTCTCAAACAGTGGGGTGACAGGCTGAGGCCTGCAAAGCGGCCACGGCGCCTGGCGGGTGGAGGGCAGTGCACCGCAGGACAGCCAGACCAGTGGCCATCCATCGAGTTTCAGGGGCGGAGGGGAGGGGCTGGGATGTCAGGGTGGGGTTCCTGTGCCCCCCTGGGCAACAGGTGAGGGAGTCCAGGACAGCAGGAGCCTTGAGCTACTTGTAGAAGGCCCTGGTGAGCTGCTGGGCTGCAGGGAGGAGCCGCTGGCTGGTTCTCAGAATTCAGGCCCAGAAGCCCCGCATCTGCGAGGATCCAGAGCAGAGGGGAAGTGTTGGGGCGCTTTCCTGGTGGTAGCAGGTGTGCAGTCCCCACGGCTCTCTAGGAACCCCCAGCGGCCCCGGGAGGGCCTTCCTGCCAGGGACGTTTTCTGTGAAGTCAGCGGAACACGCAAAGGGGGCTGGGCCCCGCTGAGTCCAGCCCCCGCCAGCGCACCGCGTGCCCATCGCAACACCAGGCCTCCGTGTGCCCAGGCCCTGCAGCCCCGCGCTGCAGACGCCCGCCCAGCGGGCACGGCCCATACGTGGCAGCCGGGTACCCACGCAAGGGGAAGGGAAGCGACGCGCCAAGCGGCCGCGCGTACCAGCGCCCCGGTGCGCCCCGGCGGGAAAGCTCCGCGGCCAGCGCGCTCCCCAACGGCGGGCTCGGCGGGCGCGTTCGCCCCAATAATCCCCAGAAACAACAGTCACCTAAAAATAGCCTTGTTTTCTGTCCTCAGCTCCTTTTAACTCCGTTAGTCATCACCGACTCTCAAAATAAAACCCGAGCAACGTCTCTCCTGGTAGCGGCTATAAACAAACCCCCGAGGAGGAAGAGGAAGGCGGCGGAAGGGAAGCGCCGGAGCGCGGCGTGGAGACCGCGGCTCAGCCCCGCGCGCCGCCTCCGGAGCGCCCTGCGCCCTGGCGCGCCGCCACCGTGGCCCGGGCAACGGCATTAAACAGAGGGAAACAGACCCGGGATTCCGTCACCGGCGGGGCGACCGGGGCGCTGAGACTGCAGGGAAAGCGCCTTCCTGGCCGCGCCGGCGAGTTAGTTATGGGGGAGGTGGGAAAGAGGGAGGAGGAAGGGGAGGAGGAGGGGAAGGAAGGGGAAGGGGTGAGTTAGAGGAGGGGTGAGGCGGGGGGTGGAGCAGACATCCCCCTGGCTCCCGCCTCCTCCCTCCCAACGACCCCCACTCCCCCACCATCTCCCACCACCCCCGCGCCCAGAGCGGCCGCAGCCCTGCGGGTCCCGGACGCGTGTGGAGGCGCAGGTGGCGGGCGGAGCTGTCCCACGTATGCGCCAGGACCCATCCCCACCTACTGATGCTCCTGAGGCCCGCCCGGGGCCCTCCTTCCGCGCGCGTCTTTGTCGCGCGGGGCGGGGCGGACGGAAACTCCGGGCGGCGTCCTGGCACCGGGGTTAGGGGACGCCGGGCTGCGCCGAGCTGGAATCCGCCAGGCAGGCAGAGGGAGGGGGGCCGCGCGGGCCTGGCCCCCTCTAGCGGTGGCCTCCCGGGAGCCCGGCCCCGGGGTCCTGCACCCCAAGGTCCCTCCGCGGCCGCCGCCCCCACCCCAAGGATCTTGTCTCCCTCACTGCCCCCCCAGAGGTCCTATCCCCCCCCCCCAGGAAGCAGGGTCTGCAGGTGACACCAGAAGAGCGCTGGGCATGGTCGGGCCATGGGCAAGGCGGTCCCTTCCGCGGCATTGGCCTCCCGAGCTGGGACGTGCGTGGAAGGGAAGCGTGGGCGCTCTGGGGATGGCCTGGCCGGCGGGCACGCAGCGTTTCCGCCGCAGCTTCTCGCACCTCTGTCACTTGGTTTCGCGCCCGCTTGGCCACAGCAGTGGAGCTGAACGCGGAGCCAAATGCCCGCGCCCCTGGATCGGGGAGTCTTCGGGGGCGTCCCCGAGCGCCCTGCGCCTCCAGGAGCGCGCGCCGGTGGCTCTAGGCTGACCGCCCCCGCCTGGGGCAGCAGTGGGTCCCCGCAGCCGCCCTCCCAACCGCCCCGACTCCCCTCCCGTCCAGCCCCGGAGAACGCGTGGCCGGGTTTGGGCCACCGGGCAGTGGCGCAGACGCAGGGGGCGGGCCGGGCGGCGCGCCGAGGTCCCCGCGCTCCAGCCGCCTAGCCGTCGCGTCCGCCAGACACCCCTCGCACCGCCACCCCCGGGGGAGGTGACCTGAGTGGGGGGTCGCGGCCGGCCGCTGCCTCGACCTCCCCCGCAGTGCGGCCGCGGGACGCAACGACAGCGTCTCCCGTCCCGGGACGCGGCGCAATCTGTTAGTAATTTAGCGGGACGGGAATTTCCTTTCGCGAGCCTGCCAGTGGAAGCGCTTTTCCAAATTTCCACAGCGGGGGAAGCCTGCGATTTTACATAATGACTTCAGCATGCGGGGCGCGCTCTGCGCCCGGCCCCCGCCCCCTCCGCAAAGCTGAGCGCGCTTCTCCCGGGACCCCCAGGGGACCCAGGCGTCCGGCCTGGCTCGCGCGCTGGCCCTCGGCGCCCCTTTTCTTGCAGGGCGCCGCGGCTCGCCCCCGCCCGGTTCTCCGAGCTGACCCCCGTCGCGCGGCCCTGCCCGCCCCCGGCGCCCGGGATCCCCTCCCCGGGGCGCCCCTCTGGCCCGGCGAGCCGCGGCTGCCGCTCTGGGAGGGCGGCGCTGGCGACTCGTCGTCCCCCGGGCCCCGCGCCGGCTCGGGCGGGCAGGGGCGTGATGTCACGGCAGGGAGGGGGCGCGGGAGCGGCGGGGGGACGGGGGAGGTGTTTTCCAGCTTTAAAAAGGCAGGAGGCAGCGCGAGGCCCTGCGTCAGAGGAACCTCCCAGACTCCGGACTCGCAGGCACAGCCGCCGGGCGGGCGCCGGGCGGCACCGGGCGCGCCGCACACCTCCGAGCCCCGCCACCGCGCTGCTGCCCCGGCCGCGGCCGGCCCTGCGGCGCGCACTCCGCCACGTCTCCCCGGGCGCGTGGTGCTGTGCGGCGGCGCGCGCGTCCGCTGGGGCCCAGGTCCGGCTGCCCCGGCACCGGCCCCGGCCCCTGCTCCCCTCCGGCCGCTCTCGCCGCCGCAGCCGCCGCGTGGATGCCAAGTACCAGCTTCCAAGTCCCTTCCAACTTTCCACTCGGTCCTGTGGCTGCAGCCTGCGGGAGCGGAGAAACTTCGGGGCTCGCGTCGACCGCCGGCAGCACGATGAAGTCAGCGGAGGAAGGTAAGCCCCGTGCGGCCGCCGCCCCCTGCGCCCCCCGACCCGCCCGCAGCGCGGGGTCCCCGTGCCTCCAGGGCGCCCTGGGCGGCCGGCGGGTCTGCGCTCCCGCAGGGCAGCGGTGGGCAGAGGCTGCGGAGGCCGTGTCCCCCTGGTGTTTCCCGAAGCAGCCCTGACTTCGAGCGCGCTTTCTTGCCAATAGGTGTCTCCTCTGGCCAGCGCCGCGTGTGTGAACTCGGCCTTGGCTGGGGCGGCGGGGCGGCGGAAACCCGTTAAGAGGCGAGCTGCAGGGGCTGCTCTGGGAAGAGTAGGGGGGCTTCGTCGGAAGGGACTGTGCGGGGGCTCTCGCGCGCGGCCTCACAGCTGAGACCAAGGGTCCTGCATTCCCGCGTGGCGCTGGGCTCTGTGTCCCGCAGGTTTTGAGGGGGGCGGTTACAGTCCCTACTGTAGCTGCTCTGCCTGTAGCCGGGGGAGGGCTCCCTAGAGTTTTCCGCCATGCGTGGAAACATTTCACAAAGTTTGAGCGCGCACCGACTGGTGCCCAGCTGGCCAGAGCGTCTAGTGAGACGCTGACAGCGGCGCTCCCCTTCCGCCCGTCCCGGCAGCCCAGCTCCACGGGTCCCTCGTGGGAGCCCCTGTGCGCTCTGGGCGTTTCCTAAAAGCTGGCAAGCCTGTCAGCGCCCGTCTGCGGCTCTGAGCTGTGGGTCTCCGCACGCTGTGTCCTGCAGGCTTGGGGAGCCTGCCTCCACCGCCTCTGCCCGCCTTGCCCCGCGCGGGGCTGTGGAGCTTGGGGGGACAGGCAGGGAGATGTGGTGGGGCGGCGTTAGGAATGTAGAGCCACCGCACCAGGCCACCCCCTCCACGGACAGGCTCTCACTGAGGTAAAGAAATGAGGCCTCCCCAAGTTTGTTTGTCTGCTACAAGTGTCGGGGTGCCGTCCTGTAACAAGAAAACCTCGACTCTCCAGCAGTGGACGCTAACGGGAAAATCACCGGTGATGGCAGCGTTACTTTGCACGTTTTCCATTTAGGAAAAAGCGAGTTTGTAAACGCCCTTGCCCGCAGCCCGCTCGCGGGGCTTCTCTGGGAGCTGGGCCCTGGAGAGCCCGAGAGCGGGGCCCGGGGCCCGGGGCTCTGCGGAGAGCAGCCCTTCAGAGCAGGCCTTGTGCTTGCCAGCCAGACCCCCGGTCCAGGGCTCTGTGGCACTGCTGGAGCTTGCTGGGTGCTGCTTTACCCAGAACCCTCTTCCGGTGCCAGGCACACGGCGGGCAGGCCTGTGCCCCACAGCGCTCACAGCCTGCCCTGGGCCCAGCCACTTTGTAGCTCGTGCCCCAGGCCCGATTAGAGCTGGTCCCTGCTCTGGCATGGGGGTGGCGGAGGGCTAGAACTCTTGAGCCCTGCCAACCCCCCCAAAACCCCCTGGGGAAAGGGAAGGACGCGGCCCAAGGCGGTCTTAGGGCACATCCGGTGCTGCCCTGATGGACTGGGACGGTGACCCGGAACTCCAACGCAGGCCCGGAAGACAGAGGCTGGTGCTGGGGAGGAGGTGAGAGCAGCTGCCCCAAGGGCAATGTGGGGGCTGCTGCCTCCCAGGGACCCCCGCCACCCTGCATCCCACCCCAGGGCTTGGGGACCCAGGGCAGGCGCTCCAGTCCAGATGGGAGGTGGCTACTGGTTTGTGAGTGTTGGTTGCTGTGAAAAGCTGGCTGAAGTTATCTAGAAAGAGGAGGGAAAGCGGACACAATGAGAAGGGCGGCTTCTCACTGCAGACTAGGCTCGGTTTGCCCGAAGGTCAGCAGAAAACGCCAAGCCGACCAAAACAGCCCTCCACGCACCTCGTGAAGGGGCGACTATTATTAGCAGCCGAATTAGGCCAAGCCGAGCCGTAGTTCATCACGGGAGAACGCCAGTCACGGGAGGGTCTGGGCCACGTGCGGCCCGGCTGGCCTCCTGCAGGGAGCCGCCCCTCTCCCTGCACCTTGCCCCTTGCCCCTTGCCCCAGGGTCTCGCGGAAAGGTGTGCTCGGCGCGGAGCCCCCTGCACCCGGAGCGAGGGGCGCGCTGGCGCTTGTGGAGCGTCAGGGCCGCCCCACCCGACGGGGCACGGGAACCTGCCAGCGGACACGGCCCCGCGGTGCGAGGTCGGGGGCGCAGGGCATCCCTGCGGAGAACCGAGCAGGTGCTGGCCCCTTCGAGGGAAACCTGGGCACGGCGGGGCACGGAGGTAGGCGACTCCGCTGGACGCGGTGGAGCTCTCGCCCGGCCGGTGGCCGCCTTTGGCCAGGGCTCGGCGCCCGCAGGCTGCCGGCTCTTGGGGCTCAGGGGACGCGGTTTGCTGCACCGTCTGTCCCTGCGGGGAGGAGGCGGCGCTGCTAGCGGCTCCGGGAGCGTCCTGGGGGCGTGGGGGGTCTCTGGCAGCGACCCGGGCACGAGGCGGCGGCGTGCGCTCGTGCGCAGGGAGTTTATTTAAAACTCGGAGCCGGCGGCCGCGAGCCGCTTGTTTATGTAAACCCGGAAACTCGGCGGGGCGGGGCGGGGACAGCAGGGCCCGGGGAGGGGCCGGGGAGGGACCGGGGAGGGACCCGGGAGGCGACGGGGAGGGCCGGGCGGGGGTCACGGCGCGCGCAGGACGCGCGGCCGGGCGGGCGCCGAGCCGCGGGGCCGACATGACGGGGCTGGAGGACCCGGAGTTCGACTTCGAGTTTCTCTTCGAGTTCGACCAGAGCGCGGAGCGCGCCACCGCCGCAGGTGGGTCTGGCCGGGAGGGCCGGGGCAGGGATCTGGAGGCGCCGCTCGCGCACCCCTGCCCAAGCGGGGTCCCGGCCGCCTCCGCCCACCTCCCCTCCACCCCCCTCCCCCCGTCCTGGGACCCTGCCTCGCGCCCGCGCTCTGCCTCTGGGCACCGCGGCGTGGGTTTCGGCTCCTGAAGTTGGTGGCGATCGCCGGGTGGGCGCAGAGGCCGCCCGTGGGGCAAGCTGCGCCGGCGCGCAGGTGACGGCCCGGCCCCCCTCCGTGGACTTCCTGGCTCTGACCACGGCCGGGCCGCTCGGGAGCGCGCGGTGGAGGGCGGGCCCCTTCCCTGGGTGGCTCCAGGCGCCTCCCCAAGGGGCGACGCTGTCCGCTGTCCGCTGTCCGCAGCGCAGGACTTGGACGCTGCGGGCCGGGGACAGATGGTCAGCAGTGTTGCCAGAGGGCAGCAGGACGCTGCCTTCGGAGGGCCTGGTTCTGTCCTGCCTGCCTCGGGGGCACAGGCAAGGCCAGGCACCCGCACCTGTGTGGTCAGGGCCTAGGGTGCCCTGCTTACACCCCAGCTGCCCACCCCAGATCCGCCCCTTCCTTCATCTTATTTACCAGTGGAAAATAACGGTTCCAGTTAAACACACAGGTTCCACACCCCCGCCACCCCCCATGCCCACCAGCAAATGCACTCTGGCTGGTGGCTGGGGCTCCAGCGCAGCCAGGAGATTCTATCCTCCCCCCGTGAGTGGGAGGGCGCCTCTGAGAATCGGCTGGGAGCCCCCCCAGGCATCTGTGGCTGTGAACCGCCTGAGTGGGTTGCCCTGGCAGGGATCAGGAATCAGAAGGGCAGCCCAGTGGGAAGTCAGCCCGGCAGAGCGCAGGGCACCGTGACCTCTGGCCCCAGCTTCTGTCGTAGAGGGTGAAGCCGGCACGGCTGGTAGAGCTCCTGTGGCTGCTGACACTGGGTAGGGCCTCACCACCTGCAGACGACTGTCTTCCCTGGCCTGCAGGTTGACTGTGAGCCCAGTGCCAGGTGGCCACCGGGGAGCTCAGGCAGCTGAGATGGCCCGCTCTGCTTCCTCAGAGGAAGGGCACTTGTGTGTCACCCCCTCCACACACACACACTGAGACACCCCAGAGCTGGGTGGCCCCGGGGCCCAGCACCCCAGGCTCTGGGGAGGGAAGCTGAGAGCAGCAGAGAGGGCCATGCAAGGGCAGCCAGGGCAGGGCAGAGCCTCATTTGGGCCGAGGCAGAGGCAGTTGTTAGAGAAAGAATGGGTGCCCAGATGGCACGAGTGTGCCTCGCGGCTTTTTCTCCCTTTTCATCATCTCAGTGATAATGTTTTGGTCATTAATGATTCAATTAGGCCGGTTATTCACATGACGCTATTATATTAAATTATGGCCCGGAGTTCTCTAGCCCCTAATACGTGATAGAAACTGCCTCTGGAATGGGGTTGGGCATAAATAAATGAGTGAACAAAGAATTCCGAGATCGGTTGCAGAGCAGGGCACTCCTGGATCTTGCCCATCTGCTTGTACGGGGCACACAAATGCCTGCCCGCAGTGAGCCGGCTGCCTGGTGGCCATAGCCTCTCCGCCTCCCTGCATGTGTGGGCAGGGGGACCAGGGCCCCCTGGTCTCTCTGCAGGGCCTGTGTGCGTTGCAGGGCATTCAGTAGGTACAGAGAGCGGATGTTCAGAAAGCCTTTGTTGGGGGAATGGGAAGAGGCCGTCGCAAGCCGCTGGCCACGGCAGGACGGGCCTGGCACCCTCTGCTCCCATGGGTGAGGCAGGGCTGGGGGCTCCCTGAGGAAGGAGCACTCAGAAACTGCCACCAGCTGGGAGGCGGGTGTGCCCCGGTGCTCCTCTGGGGCTCCTGTTTTCTAAGTTATTTTGTCTAAATGTTGCCAGCACCGTCTCCGTGGCAACTTAAGAAGAAACTGGCCAGGGCCTCTGGGCCAGGGGCTGGAGCCTGCAGGCAGCCAAGCACCTCCCAGCTCTCTGCAGGGACAGCGCTGGTGGGTGGCTTTCAGTGGTCATAGGTGGGAGGGGACAGCTGCCCTGAAGGCAGAGTGGGGCTACACGTGGCGGTGGCACAGCTAGCAGTGACTGCTCTGCAGTGAGGCCAGGCCAGCAGGGCCAGGGCACAGGGTGGCCTGCCTGAGGCAGGGACTAACTGGCACCTCTGAAAGTTCCTCCGATGCCTCACAGGGAGCCCTGGGTAGCTGACCACCTGCTCCAGAGGCACTGCTGGCCTGCGGTGGTGGGTGGGCGCCCCTGCCTGAGCAGGTGCCCTTGGCCCCACCAGGCGTGCTGGCCTGGCTGTGGTTCTGCCCTATTTTGTTTGTGTGCGCAGCTGTGGCCCGTGCCCGCTGCAGCCTGTGCCGTGGCTGTGGACAGAGGTTGTGTGGGCAGCCTCTGGAGGCCGGCCCTGCCTGACAGATGGCCCCACTTCTTTTTTCTGGCTTTGTGTCCCATGGCGCAGCCCCTGCAGAGGGGAGGCAGGGGGTTCCTTCAAGTGAGAGCGGAAAGCCCACATGAGTTTGCTCAGGGTCCGTGAGCAGTGGAGGTGGCTGCAGCAGCCACGGGAAGCTCTTCAGGGGCACAGGGGCTGCTGTCGCTGTGTCCCCCGAGACCGGGGTGCTGAGGACGTAGTGATGCTCGCAGCTGGGGCCTCGCAATTGAGGAGTTGCTGGGTAGTCGTGAACTAGTTTCCATCCCGTGAGGGGTGATCCCCGTGCCTGTCCCCCAGCACACCTGAGAAGCCAGCACAGGTGTGGGGCTCAGGACACCCCCTAAGAGGCAGGCCACACTCTTCCTGCATGCGCCCACTTGCTGCTCCCTGTCTGGGCTGCACCACCTTACTCCCATGGGTCTTACCTGGTGTCGTGTGCCCCACACCAGCCCCTGGAGTTGTAGGAAAGTTGCCAGGACCAGCCTTGTTCCATGTGAGTGGGGTCCCTTTGAACACCTAATTGTCGGGTTTACATCCGGGTGGGTTGGGAGGCTAATGAAACCCAAGCCAGTGGGGGCTCGGCCCTGGCCGCCTCCCGGGCCCTCGCGCCTAATGAGGTCTGGGCGCTGCGGTTTTCTTTCTGCAATTTGTTTAATGAAGGGAGAAGCAAGCGAAGGTGGATCTTTTAAATAAGGCTTTCCGCCGATTCTCCCTCTGCTTCGCTGAGATGCTTTGGTTTAAATAAAGGCCCTCTGGGATGATGGGCTACGTGCCCGCCCAGGTCCCCCGCCCTCTGCAGTCTGCACTCCTTCCCACCCCTAAACCTGCCACCCTCTGCTCTGTTTCATCCAGAGCCTGCTGGGCCTCCGGCCGTGCCCCAGGGCAAGGGAGGCCGTGCTGGGTGATTTTGTTCAGCACCTACCGGCATGGCCACTGGCGAGTCAGTCAACCTCTGTGGGGCCAAGGCTTCTCATTCTCAAAGGACGGAAACGGAAGGAGCATTGGGCTGCCAGCTTCAGAGACTTCTCCTGGAAAGTGTCCATGGCGGCAGCTCCCCCACGCCTGGGCCCTGGCACCCACCTTGCTGAAGATGTTCTGCGAAAAGGCAGCAGACTGAGTTCAGGCAGCTTAGGTGGGCAGGGCCAGGCCCCAGTGCCACCTGGTCCTGGCTGCCACTGCCCGCCCGCTGCCTCTGAGTCACTCTGACTCCTGACCTGGGCTGTGTGGAGCTGTGGATGTGCCTTCTGGTGGGCAGTAATGGGCAGGGAGACCCCTCAGTGCCTGACCTCCCTTTCTGGGCTCCTCCGAGCTGTCCTGCACTGAGGCCAGTATCCATGCACCCCTGGGAGGCTCCGGCTGCCCTTCTTGCCCTCCGGAACAGCCTTGCGGGGCTCAGGGCCCTGGGGAGCGGCTGGTCTGGCCAGGCAGGCCTCAGGGGAAGGCAGTACTAAGGGTCCTCGCCAGCCTAGCCGGGAGCCCCTCCTGCTGCTGGCCCTGGGACCCCTTTGTCACAAGAGAAACTGTTCCCAGAGCTAGTTTTCAGAAAGAGTGCAATTTATGATTAGCATTGCCTGTGGCTCTCGCGTCCAACACCCCGTAAGTGTGTGCCGTGATACCAACACCCAGTGAGTGTGAGGAGGCATCAAGCGCCTGTGAGTGTGAGATGGCACCAAGCACTCCATGACTGTGAAGTGGTACCCAGCACCCTGTGAGTGTGAGAGGCTGGCAGCCACGACTGGGACTGTTCCAGCCAGCTCCTCCAAAAGCCAGGCTCTGCTGCCTGCCGGGCCCACTGGTGTTTTTGGGTGAGGGTCAAACTTCGAGGCCTGTGGGAAGACTCCACTGCCCTGACAGCTCCAGGCCACAGCATTATGGGTGGAGGCAGGCCCGGGCTGGGTGACGGTGGTCCCAGGCTCGGTCCCAGCAGGCAGGGCCCACATGGCACCCGTAGGACTTGACTCTGCCTCTGAGGGAGGAGTGGTGGCTTCCCTCCACCTGCCAGGGGCAGAGAGTGGCTGGGGGCCTCGGGGACCTCAGTGCCAGGTGGCACAGGCCCACCCCAGGGAAGAGGGCCCGAATGGGGAGCCTAAAGGAGGGTTTTGGGCTGATGAAGGTCAGAACTCCCAACCACGAGTTGGGAGTTCCCAGCTGCCTGGTGGGTGCCCCTTGTGGAGCCTAGCACCATTTCCCTGTGAGTGTGAGGTGGCACTGTGGGACCGGCAGGGCTGGCTCGGTCGGGTGGCCATGGTCATGGCTGGAACCTGAGGCTACAGTGTGCGTCCAATGACGGCTGCAAACCCACACAGGGTGGCATGGCCAGTGCACGCTGTATCCTATTCAGAGCACTGTGCCTGAGCCCCCGATGCCCTGGGACTCAGTCCTGCTTGTTCCCAGGAGAGCTGATGACACGTGCCTTGATGGGTCTGAGTCCTGGCCCCTGGGCTGACTGTCCAGCTCCCTGCTGATTCCTCAGGAGAGGCCGGGGAAGACTGCAAGGACCCGGTCTCCTGCTTGTCCAACAGGGCGGCCTGGCACAGCCATGCCTGCCAGGGGTGGAAGAGGAGAGATGGGGACCTATCTCTCCTCCTCTCTGATCTCTGCATTTCAACTTAGCATCTTTTTTTAAAAGATTCATTTTGTTTTTGTTTGAAATGCAGATTTACAGAGAGAAGGAGAGACTAAGAGAAAGATCTATCGTCTGCTGCTTCACTCCCCAAGTTGCCACAGTAGCTGGAGCTGAGATAATCTGCAGCAAGAAACTAGGAGCCAGGAGCTTCTTCTGGGTCTTCCACGTGGGTGCAGGGTCCCAAGGCTTTGTTCTGTCCTCCACTGCTTTCCCAGGCCACAATCTGGGAGCTGGAAGGGAAGTGGAGCAGCCAGGATATGAACTGGTACCCATATGGGATGCTGGTAGCATGGGCATGCAATGGTGTAGGCCCTGAGATCTGTGTTTTTAAGGGTGTGTTCCTAGGCACCAGCCAGCACCAAAGTGATTTTGGCATCATGACAGTGATGCAGGCACTGCCACGTGACTCGGGTGTCATGACCGTGATTATGGCACTAGGCACATGGTTTGGGCGCCATGACCAGCACGCTGCAGCGGTGCCTGCAGTGCTGGCCCTAAGCCCGTGAAGCTGTCCAGCAGCTGGGTCCCCAGATCCCAACCTCCTGGCCCTCTCGGTCCGGCCATGGGGCCCGGTGCAGACACGCTGGGCCAGTTCCCGGGGCTGGGGCTTGGTTTCTGCTGCTCAGAGAGTTGAAGGGGAAGGGAAGGCATGGGCTTGACCTTGGCAGAAGTGAGTGCTAGAAAGAAACCCGCAGTGTGCCGAGAGCATGTGCTGGGGGCCAGGCCTCATGCAGTCTGGGCAGTGAGAGGAGGTGCCCGCTGAGAGGGCTGGCCTGCACTCCTGACCAACCATGCCTCACGCTGCCGCTTCTCATCCTTGCAGAACACTACGGCTACGTGTCATCCACCGTGGGCACCGGCTTGCCCCTCACTGCGGCTCACGGCTCAGTGTCAGCCCCGTGCCATGACCTTCAGACGGCTGCCCCTGGCATCTCGGCCGTTCCCTCGGGGAGTCACCCCTCGGGGTACGGAGGGACGGTGGACAGCGGGCCCCCAGGCTACTTCCTGTCTTCTGGCAGTGTCAGGCCCAATGGAGGCCTAGCTCTGGAGAGCCCACGGATTGAAATCACCTCATACCTGGGCCTGCACCCTAACAGTGGCCAATTCTTCCATGACGTGGAGGTGGAGGACGCGATGCCCAACTCCAAACGACCCCCATCCACGGCCACACTGAGCCTGCCCAACCTGGAGGCCTATCGCGACCCCTCGTGCCTGAGCCCGGCCAGCAGCCTGTCCTCCCGCAGCTGCAACTCAGAGGCCTCCTCCTACGAGTCCAACTACTCATTCCCCTACGCGTCCCCCCAGACGTCACCTTGGCAGTCCCCCTGCGTGTCCCCCAAGACCACAGACCCCGAGGAAGGCTTTCCGCGGGGCCTGGGCGCCTGCAACCTGGGATCCCCCAGGCACTCCCCCTGCACCTCACCCCGGGCCAGCGTCACGGAGGAGAGCTGGCTGGGAACACGGGGCTCCAGGCCCACGTCGCCCTGCAACAAGCGCAAGTACAGCCTCAATGGCCGCCAGCCCTCCCGCTCCCCGCATCCTTCACCCACGCCGTCCCCGCAAGGCTCCCCGCGGGTCAGCGTGACCGACGACAGCTGGCTAGGCAACACCACCCAGTACACCAGCTCGGCCATCGTGGCGGCCATCAATGCGCTGACCACGGACACCAGCCTGGACCTGGTGGAAGGTGTCCCTCTCAAGGCCCGCAAGACCGCCCTGGAGCCCTCCCCCTCACTTGCGCTCAAGGTGGAGCCAGCCGGGGAGGAGCTGGGTGGCACCCCACCCACGTCTGACTTCCCGCCTGAGGAATTTGCCTTCCAGCACGTCCAGAAGGGCGCCTTCTGCGACCAGTACCTGGCTGTGCCACAGCACCCTTACCAGTGGGTCAAGCCCAAGTCCCTGCCGCCTGCATCCTACATGAGGTGAGTGGCCGTGGGTCCTCGGGCCCCCATAGGGAGGGAGGTCTGTCTGGGGACACAGGACAGGGGGCTGCCTGCAGGCCTGCTCCAGAGGTGGACGGGCTGTGGGTCTGTGGACCTGTGCTCGAGGTGCGCTGTCGACAAGCCCAGCCAACCCTGTGTGCCGCCTATTCTCCTGCCCCTCTTCTCACTTCCTGGCTGGTTCTCACGGGGTGCAGATGGAGCCTTGGCTGCACATGTCCCCAGAGTCGCTGCTTAGGCTCCCAGCACCCAGAGAATAACAGGACCTCCGTCCCGGGAGGCGACGCCTGCTTGCTCGCTGGTCGCCTGCTGCACATGCAAGTTTCGGGTTGTTAGCTGTGCTTGGCACTGGGGCGAGGGCTGTGCGCTCCAAGGGGCCTCCTTAACCAGCCCCATGCTTTTATTTTTAACTAAACAGCTTCCCCAGTGGGCGGGCCTCTAGCGACCCAGGCTGTGCCTCGGGCTCCCGCATTTACTCAGAGCAGCCGCATCCACGGGCCCCTGGCCAGAAAGCCTGTGTCCTCCGGGCTGGTCACACCCCAGGAGAGGCTCTTGCGACAAGCACGCACCGCTGTGTACACTCCATCCCCCTCCCCAGTTCCAAGCAGAGTGGGATGGCAGACCGGACTGGCAGACCAGGGTAGCTGGAGGTGGCATGTGGCAAGGCCACTTCATATGGAGGCTGTCATTACCCCTGAAGGGAGCAAGGCCAACAGCGCCCTCTGGAAGTTGCGCAGTGGGAGCTGGCATGAGTGGACGCTGTCCACCTGCTCACCTGGCCTCAGGCTTGTGGGGAGCTTGGGTCCCGGGCAGGCTCTGTCACCTCCTGCCCAGCACCCTCAGTACTGCCAGGTAGGTTGTTTAGTGTATTTACTGAATTTTTTTTTTAAGATTTATTTGTTTTTATTGGAAAGTCAGATATACAGAGAGGAGGAGAGACAGAGGAAGATCTTCCGTCCGATGAGTCACTCCCCAAGTGAGCGCAACAGGAGGAGCTGCGCTGATCCAGAGCCAGGAGTCTCTTCCGGGTCTCCCACACAGTGCAGGGTCCCAAGGCCCTAGGCTGTGCTCGACTGCTTTCCCAGGCCACAGGCAGGGAGCTGGATGGGAAGCAGAGTCGCTGGGATTAGCTGGCACCCATATTGGATTCCAGTGCATGCAAGGCAAGGACTTTAGCTGCTAGGCTACCGCACCAGGCCATCATTTTTTAAAATTTATTGGAGCAGCAGAGTGAGCATGGAAGAATAGGGGAAGGCAGAGGAACATTTGACATCTGCCAGACCGAAGCCAGGAGCCAGAAATTTCACCAGGTCTCCACATGGAGCAGGAGCCAAGCGCTTAGGCTGTCCTCCACTGCTTTCCCAGGTGCTATAATTAGCAAGGAGCAGCACCAGAAGTATAGCAGCCGGGACTCAGTAAGATGTGCCAGCGTTGCCAGCAGCATGGCTGCCTGTGGTCTGGTGCCTATGAGGGGTTTAAGCAGACTGCTCAGTGTGACCCCCACAGGAAGTTGTGTTGTTTGTGTAAACATGGGAATTTGTAGACCCCAGAGGAAACAGGTGAACCTGAAACCTCATCGTGTCTGTTGCATGGTTGTGGATTTCTCCCTCAAGAATAGCAAGAACCTGGGCCTGGCCCTGTGGCCTAGCTGCTAAAGTCCTTGCCTTGAACACCAGGATCCCATATGGGTACCGGTTCTAACCCTGCTCAGCCCTGCTTCCCATCCAGCTCCCTGCTTGTGGCCTGGGAAAGCAGTCGAGGACGGCCCAATGCTTTGGGAGCCTGCACCTGTGTGGGAGACCTGCAGGAAGTTCCTGGCTCCTGGCTGTGGATCAGCGCAGCTCTTCCTGTTGCAGTCACTTGGGGAGCAAATCATCAGATGGAAGATATTTCTCTCTGTCCTCTCTCTCTCTCTATGTATATATACATATGGCTTTGCAATAAAAATAAATGCATCTTTTAAAAAAAGAAGAGCAAGAACCTTCTGCCACCTGGCTGCCCGGCACAGCCGCACCTGGCTGCACCCCATCTTCCAGGCCCCGGTGGCCTTGGATGTGACTGTTGCTGCGACCCTGGGGAGGATTCCTGTCACCCTGGTTACTGTTTCCGGGGTGTCCCTGGGGATGCTCCCGGGGATGAGCTGGAAGTGGGTATTTATTGTGGCGTAGCAAGTAAACCCAAGTAAAGTAAATGCCTGTTACCCCGGCATCCCACAAGGGCTCCAGTTCAAGTTCTTGCTACTCCAGTTCCCACTCTGCTTCCTGCCAATGTCTTGGAAAACCAGCAGAAGGCGGCCCAAGTGCTTGGCCCTCACCCACATGGAAGACGGAGGCCACTCCTGCATCAGCCTGGCCCAGGTCTGGTCGCAGTGGTCTCCCAGGGGTGAACCAGTGGAAGGTCGTAGTGTTCATCTGGGGGGTGAACCAATGAATGGAAGAGTTTGTCTTTGTGTCTCTCCTCTGTAACTCTGATTTTTAAATCAATAAGTAGATCTTAACACAACCAGACAAAGCATGAGCTGGGCCCCTGGTATCCACGTTGTGCCAGCACTGGGCAGGAGTCCTGGGGAGTCTCCCCTCGCTGTGTCCCAGACTGGGATCCACCCCTGTGGCCTGGTGCCCAGCAGGCATGGGCTGTGGGCTTTTTCCTTGGCTTGGGGTGTTGGCAGTGGTCGGGGACCTTTTATCTTGCATAGCAGAGACTCTGGGGAGGTGTGGGGCCCGTGACATTCCTGGGAGGTGACACAGGCGTGCAAGAGTTCACCTTTTCCCACTGTTTTGGTTCCACATCCAAAGGTGTTTCCTGGCAGCTGGCGCTGTGTTTCCATGCGGTTGCAGACCTGGGGCCCAGGGTTATTCATCAGCGGGTCGGAGCGGCCACACTTCCTTCCCCCTACTGGCCCCACGGCCTCACACAGGCACCTCGGGCAGCAGGACAGCTAGGCTGTTTTCACTTCTCTCTGGGGCTTGGACCAGAGAATTCATCCCAGCAAATCCGTACCCCCTGCCTGGGCGGCCCTGGTCCCTCTGCAGACAGAATTTTCGGTCTCTTTCCTAGCCCCAAATGGAGGTCATGTGCCCCTCTCTAAGGGGCTCTGCCCGCTGGCTTATTCCCACGAGCTGCGTCCGTGGCATGGCTTTCTCTGCAGAGCGTGCATGGGTAGCCACATCCATAGGAGGGTGTGTGTGCACCTGCAGGTACGGCTTCCATTGGAGTCTTTCTTGGTGATGGTATGCAGATGGAAGCTGAGATTTTTTTTCTGAACTAAAGTTACCAAAGTTTAAAAGACTGTTCTTCCACACTGCTGTCAGCCCAGTTAGCCAAGGCGCTGCGTTGTGCCCAGAAGTGTGTGTGTGTGAGTGGAGCAGGGAGGGTTGTGTTTAATGGAAAGCTGTAACTCCTGATGGCTGCCGCAGTAGGTACTCTGAGCATGTAAAGGGGAATGGGACGGAAGAGTTCGGACTCCAGGGACATTCAGAAAGGTAGGAGCATTTTGATGCGAGTCTGCACTGCTCTCGCGGTGACCTGAATCCCTTGCAGGACCTTTGCTGTTGTGAATTGAGCTTGTAGAGAGTAGAGTTTGCTTTTCATTTTATTTGAAAGCAGAGAGAGCTGGGTGAGGCTGAATCCAGCAGGAGTGGTTCCCCCACGTGGGTGCAGAGCCCAAGCACGTGGGCCGTCCTCCACTGCTTTCCCAAGGGTACTAACAGCTAGCAGGCAAGAGGCGCAGCTAGGATTCCAGTAGGTGGCCAGCCTGAGAAGTAGGAGCCCCAAGGGGCAAGTTTCCTGAAGCTTCAACTCACAGCCACTGGGCTCAGGTGACCAGGAGCTGCGCAGTTGAGGCATGCTGGGAGGATGCCTCTCAGTGGGCATCAGTGGCAGCATGCCAAGGTCTGCTGGCCCCCTTGTGTCTATGGGATTCCTGGAAGCTGCAGGCTGATTCTGTGGGAACAAGGCTGCGTCTCTGGGAATGTCCAGCTTTTGGACTCTGTGCTGCTGGGGTGAGGGCCCAGGACAGGTGCTCCTGGCTCTCTGGGTGGTGGGGAGGTGCCTTTGGAGGCCTCACTGCAGCAAGCACGCCCAGGAGAATGGGCCAGGTCAACACAGCCAAGGCCCAACCCGCTGTGGCAGAGGGTGCATGTGTCACTTCCCGGAAGGAGGCTGACGGCTGCATGGTGGGAGTCCCTTCCCCCCGGTGGTCCCAGCCAGCAGGGTGAGGTGGGAGCCTGGGATGGGCAGATCAACCCCTCAGAAGGCTGTGGGAACCCAGTGGGTCTCAGAGCCAGAGTCACTTGTGCAGGGCTCGTAGTTGATACTTAGCACTGGGGTTCAGGCTGTGAGAAGCAGACAGCCCCTAGCCTGCACTGACCCCTCAAGCCAGGAGCCCAAGCAGCCCAGTGCAGGCATCGCGAGTCCTGTGGATGGCATGGCAGGCGGCAGGGGATGCCAAGCCTGCTTTGAACTTTAACTTTCGGTTTCTTATCACCAGCACTGAGGCACACACACCCCCCCCCCCGTGGGCGGGAGCAGCACGCGGAGGGGCTGCCCCCCAGCTTCTGCAGGTTCCCAGGGCAGGGTGCCCCGTGTCGAAGATGGGGAACTAGAGCAGTGGCTGTGTGGCTGGGACCTGGCAGAGATGGCATGTCCTGCTGGGCTCCTTCTGGCTGTTGGGAGTGTGTGGGCAGCTCACAGCCCTGGATCACAGTGCCTCCTGGCTGATGTTTATAGAGGTCCCGGCTGGCACTTCAAGTTCTAACTGGCAGCCCCGGCTCCAGCCCTCCAAGGTGGGTGTGCATGGAGGCACTCGGGAAAGAGGAAGGGGACAGTGCTGTGTGCCCCTGGAGGCGGGACAGTGAGCTGAGGCTTTCCCTCCAGAGTTTAGCTTTTTGCCCCTGCAGGCTGGTGCCTTGGGGAGGGGGAAGCCCCGGCCTGGCCCTGCCCACACTCGGCTCTCGTGTGGGCGGCTCCCAGGACCTGGAATT